ATGCGCTGGAAAATTGAACAAAGCTGAACAACACAAGCGCAAGTGGGTCAACAACCCAAAGATGCGTTTCTGGGCTGCTTCGGCCGGCTGAACATGTTCAAGTGCGCAACTGGGAACCTTCCCGTCCTGGAGACCAGACAGCGCCACGGCGCTGCCGCCGGCGCGTCATGAGCCATTTTTCCAGTATCTGGAGCCACTCAAGATCCGATTCACTGAATGGCTGAAATTCAAGCACGGCGCAAATGCCCCAACCGCAGCCCAATGGTGGCCGTTAATCTGGACGCCTGATTTGGACCAATACGCTCGTCCGTTAAGATCTCTTGCCCTCGCTGTTTTCGATTGGAATCATGATAGTGCTGGGCAAATTCGCCCAAAGACTGGCTGGGACCAATGGGAACGAGAAATGGCGGAAAAAAGAATAACAATACCATCGGTTCAAGTGTTAACGGACAACTTGAACGAATCCAACCGAGCTTCCGCATCGGACGAAGTTGGGGACATAGATTTCCGGGTAATTGCTGAACTCCATCATCGGCCCAGCCGTGCTGATGAAGCGATATTAGCCCGCGACGAGAAAGCTACGTTGTCGAATGGCGTCTGCAATCGAAACATTGTCCAGCGTCATCGGCTGATTATCCCGCTGCGAACGCTGCCTTATTGGCTTGGTTTGATTTCTATGTCTGGCTGCATGTCCAGTGCAAAGTACAATGTTCAATAATTTGATCGACCAGAAATTATCAAAGTTGCGGCGCAATTCATCTTGAATCTTTCTCGACACCCCTGGCTTCGACGCCAGTAGGCACTGAGGTTATTCATGATGTGCCGCCTGAATTGTTCAAACTCGTGAATAGAATCGGGGCCCAACCAGCTGACCGCATCCCACTCACGGGAGATGGGGGCGGATATTGTTAGTTGTGCGAGAAGTAATTTTCTTGTTCGTGCCTGCGGGAGTCATTGCATTTCCAGGGTGCGAAATACAGCGCAACGCAAACTATACGAATGAAGCTCTAGAGCAACGCGCGAAGAACATGCTTTGGATTGCCGAATTAGATCCGCTACTGAATCATTCGACCTACTATATGGATGTACCAAAGGATCGGGCAATGAATAGCAGAGACCGTCTGACAAAATTGCACAAGTATTCAATATGCATTTGTTTTTTATGCATGCGTCCACGGAACCTCAATATACTGTCAGGATCTGTCTAGCCAACAGCCGTTTTGGATTCTTCCGCGCAGACAATGCCATTGGTCTTACTAGTTTTCTAGGAAGAAAAAGAGGGAGAGCGGCCCAGCCGACTCTCCCACAGAGGCCGCCCCAGCTGACTCTCCAGCAGATGCCGCAATCATGATAGCTGAAGAACACACCCCGAGCGGCGCTGCCGCTTCGGGGCTGCGAACTCAGCGGTATTCTCGCCCAGAATCGAGACCGAGGCATCGGGTGGGGAGGCGATCCCATAGGACTGCCCCTGATGCCCCCGCGCCCGCCGGCCCAGCCGCGTCGGGCACCAATGCTGGCTGGGATAACTATGGTAGGGCCCAGTCTTGGGCAGATGAGTCTATTGTAGAGCCGGGCGGCCGCGCGAGCGATGGCGGCGGCGCCCGGTCGGCCGCGGGTGGCGGCTATGACGCGACGCACGACCGCGCGGGCAATATTGAGAATCGAGAAGCTCAAAAATACGATGTACATGTATCTCTTCGCCAGAATGTCACTGGTCATACCAAAACTTGGCATTGGTTTAGTCTGAACGACTACAACGACAATTTCAAACGTGATCCTGGGGCGCCGAGTACCTTGCCAGAGCCACCGCCGCCGCCTGCGCCGAGGGCGAGGCCGAATGAGAAAGGCCAGGGCAAGAGTCAGCTAAACAGCTGGAGCTCGAGCAGAAGAGAAGACATATAGATATATATATGTGATTAGTATTCAAGGTATCGGTACCAGTGGAACTGGAGCAACAGAGACACGTGGGAGGATTCTCGAGAATGGACGAGTGATTGGCAGAGGTGATGCAATGCAAGAAGGACCAGTACGACTTTGTATTCGACGGTCAACAGTTCATCATGAGGCGGGCGCACCAGGTGTGCATGGGCATTTGGCCCTGAGCTGGGGAATATTTGCTCAGGCGGGGTACGTCGGGTTACTTCGGTTTTCCGCCACCTGGCAACCGCCGCTGAGCGGTAAAATGTTTTTGGGGTTCGCTCTGGTGGCTGTGCATATGTGCAGGCGAGGTGGGTTGGGGGTCTGAGCGACTCTACGGACCCCACCGCGGGGGGAGTCAATGCACCCTTTCCGCGCCGCCATCCTGTTGCCCATGCTGCTCTCTAGCCTTGCATGCACTGTCTGCTGCGCTGACTGCTTCTCTTCATGACTTGAGTGTTTACCTGTAGCTACAACTCTGGCTCTGGGGAAACGGAAAAGGAGCGAGCCTGCGGCGCGCGCGTGCGTCGGCCGGCGGGCCGGCCTCCTCCCTTTAGTGTTGCCTCATTGTATGTTTGGCGGCATTATCCCTTCTTCCCCGTGTCATCGGCGAGGCCCACTGACCATGAGGTATCAGGGATTATGAATATCCGGGCAAAAGACTGAAGCACGAGGTCCAGCCTGAGCCCCTTCTCGAAGAAGGACCGGCCCCATCTGCGCAACTTGTGCACACGCTCCTACACCAGAGAAGCATTTGAAAGGAGGTGGGGGAACGGGGTAGTTGGGGTGGCGAACGAGGAGGATGTGGGATGCGGATGAGGATATAGAGGGTGAAGGAACATGATGGGTGGCCGGTTGGGTGGGTGGGTGGATAGACGGGTGGATGCATGGGTTGCTGGTGACGACGGTGGAAACGACGTCCATGATGATGACGACGACGATCATGATACAGATGTTGTTGCTGATGATGATGATGTTGCTGGTGATGGTGATGACGACGATGGCGATGATGATGCTTCTTGTTATAATGATGATTCGGATGATGAGTTCTGTAAGGGTTATGATGTTGTTGATGATGATGGTGACGATGATGATGATTATGATGATGACGGCGATGATGATGATTTTGATGATGAGGAGGCTGCTGCTGCAGATTGATGATGATGACGAGAATAATGATGATGATGGTGATGATTGTGATGGTGCTGATGGTGCCGATGCGGAGGATGACGATGCTTACGAAGACGATGATGATGGTGCTGATGGTGATGATGATGATGATGATGATGGTGGTGTGAGATATACGCTGTACATATTGTGTAGTGTGCAGAGCACAACTGTCGCATAGCGAGCGTACTGTTACGTGTTGGCCCAGACCCTCAAGGGCCCTTCGATCGAGCGCGCCAGCGGTGTGAAGAGATCACCAGATGTTCTTCTGGCTGTTCATGCTTAGTGTTGCCATCAAAGACTTCGGGGTCTTTGATACGTTCAGATTGGTAGCGGAGCCTGGTAAGCCAGGCTCACGCTTCGATCTTCCATATCTTGGCGGCAAGTCTCCAGATATCGTTGCCGCCTCCATAAGCTCCGACCCGGCGGCGGATCTCGTAGACCGCCTGGCCAGTTTCTCGTCGGAGTCCATTTTTTTATGTCACATCCAATCTCACAGTTGATCGCGCAGAACGGGGCAGCTTCGATTTCGCGCAGCACGCTTCGGACAGCAACCCCTTGCAGTTCCAGTCCAGCAGGATGTCCGAGCCAATGGCGGACATGCTACCAGAGCGAGGAGTTCCACAATTCGATGGCACGCTCAGCAAATGAAAAGAATACGAGAAGCGGGCGAACATTTTCATCGTGAACCTCGCATTGGAGATGAAGGAGGGCGCAGCAGCTCTCATGCTCAGCGCAGGTTTCACAGGCGAAGCTTGGGGCGAAGTTGAGGACCTCTCAGCAGACTAGCTCATCGAGCCCAACGCGGCGAAGCAGCTCATGGCCATATTACGGAATCGCTTCAAGGTGGGCGACAGGACGGAGTTCGCGGACGGATTTTGAGGAGTTTGTTTTCAAGCTTACGCGGTGCAAGGGCGAGACGCTGTTCGCCTACGCATCGCGAGTGCGAGCGGCCGAGCGGCTCAGGACGCACGACATCGAGCTACTTGCGAAGGTCCGAGGCTGGCTCGCGCTACGACGAGGAGGGTATTGCGCGGACCAGAAGGCGGTCGCCACGTCGGTAGTTGGTAGGGATATCACACAAGATAAGGTTATTGAGGTGTTGGAGACAACGTTCGGGCAGGAGAGCATCATGCACGAGCCGAATCACGCACGGAAGCAGTGTTTCGTCGACGAGGACACATCAGAGTATTATGACGAGGATAGTAAGTTTCACGTGCCCCTAAGATGGGTTGCGAAATCAGGGAAAAGGTCTGAGCAGCGAAATTCCGAGGCTTGCGGAGCCGACGGCTGAAACCGAAAGGAAGTTACGCCGAAATCAGCAGCGAAGTCGCAACCGACACGCCGAGCAACCGAAACCGAGATGTTGCGCAGCGATAAGCGAGTTTCGCCGAAAATCAGGAAGCCGAGGACCAACATTGAAACCGTGTGCGTAGCCGATAACCGCCCACGTGGCCCCAGAGAGTTCTGATGAGATGAACCGTCCATAGCTCAAATTGTGAGGATGTTTTGAGCGGGAGCCTGGAGGAGCAAGCTGGCGGAAACGGCGCCAGCCCATTCAGGATCGACTCGGATCGACTTCGGCGTCGGCGTGTGGCGGCAGCAGCAGCAGCAGCAGCGGTTCTAGTTTATCCCCAGCGGCCGCGGCCCCAGCGCAGCTCAGCTTGCACAAGTCGATCGGTTTTGCAACCAAGCACGGGTACTGCCACGCAGCGCGGCAATCCAGCCACAGAAACGAACCTCATCCATCCTCATCCTCCTCCTCTTCATCCTCCTCCTCCTTCTTCTCCTCCTCGCCCTCCTCTCCTTCGCCCTCTCCCCCCCGCTCCTGATCCTCCTCCTCCTCCTCCTCCTCTTCCTCCTCCTCCCCATCCTCCTCCAACCCCATTCGCTGCCAGCGCGCAGCGTCAAACGACCTACGCAGGCGCCGCCGCAGCCCCGGGTCCGGGCCCCTTCATGGCCAAGCTCATGGCCTTCAAGTGGCCGCACGACCGCCGACTGTCCCCCTCCATATCCTTGATCATCAGGTCGATCGCTGGGAGCGCCCCCTCGGGCACCGAACACGACGACCACCACAGTGCCTCCTCCTTACTCCTCTTTCTCACCATCCCCCCTCTACTGTTGCTTCTCCTGCTCGTTCCTCCGCATCGCCCCCTCCCACTTTATCTTCCCGTCGGCCTCCTAGTCGTCCAGAGTCCTTGTGATACTTGTTTTTTCTCATTGCCCTTTGTTCCCTTTATTCCGCCCCCTCCCCCTTTCCATCCTTGGGTTGTGTGGTGTGGTTGCCCACATGTCTACGCATCTACGTATGCATTTACAAGCGAATTGAAGTAGCTACAAATAACACTTGCACGTTCATACATACAAACATCTGCCATGCTACTGCCACGTTCCGATAACGTGAAGCCCGTGGCGCTACAAGCGCCGTGCCCCACATTGAGATTTACAGGCGTTCCCGATGCCTGCCTTGTTAATCATCGGGATGCGCAACCCCCAGCCCCGCATCTCCTGGTGGGCGCATTCCGTCACAATGCACGCTGGTGGAGTCCAGATGATGTCACCAGGCATCGCGATGCCGTAGGAGATGGTCGAGTCGTTGGCTGCCGTGCTGCAGAAACGGGAGGGATGCTGGCCTTTGAACCACTTCAGGACATCATCGTACCGAATATTTGAATCGTCCTTGATCTTCTTGAAGTCCATGAACATGGTGCGTAGTTTGTCATATGGCACGATCGCCACGCGGCGGGCACCGTCAAACTGCACGCGGAGGCACCCCGTAGAAAGGAACTCCGAGCCAGCATAATATGTTTTGCTGCCAAATCCGTAAACACTCGGAGTCGTCATCCATTTTTTTTGGTCAGGCGAGTCCAGTAGCTTGAGACTGTCATCATCGAATTTGTCCAGAAGGTCCGGAGGCGTGCCCAGCTGCTCGATTGCTTCCTTCAACTTCTCCTCGAAGGCAAGCCCCTCCTCTACGTGCAACTGCGCGCGACCAGGCGGCTTGGTCTCCCTCTCCGTTCCCTCGAAGCCAGCAGTGAATGAATCAAAAGTACTCTTGAGCACCGAGTCGTCCCGCAAAGCATTGACAAACTCTCGCCCAGCATGGATCAAGAACGGCACCTGCCGAGGTTTCAACATTCGCGCGCAGAATTGTTTGGGTTGGACCCCGATCAGGTCGCTGGATCCTGGGACCTTTGGGTTCTCAGAGACGGGGAGTGTATTTTTGAGCATCTTGCAACACACCACACGTCAACATGTGTTAGACGTCGAGCAACCGGGGATTCTGGGGTGACGGGTGATGGGCTCATCCCTTTCTTTCACCGTCACGCTTTTTGGGTCACCTTTGCCCACCCACCCCAAGAAACCAGACTCAAGAGGTGACAGCTATGGGGTGACTTGGCGGCGTTGGCACTCAGCCCACGAATGAGATATGATCTGAACTGCATCGGGAATGTTTTATATTGCCAGGCACCTTCCAATCCACAGTGTCTTTCCCCGCGATGAAAGCATCCATTGACGAAAGAGTGAACATCTGCTCTGTGATATTGAAGGAGTAGTCGATGATGCGAATGGTGCTGTCACTGGCGCTGTCGGCCTTGTCTTTGCCTTTGACACTGTTGCCCTGCCCTGCTTTCTGTGCAGCGTCGTTGGTGCGTGCGGTCTTGTGCTTGGTGACCATGTCATTGCGCAGGCACTTCATATTGTCGATGAGCTCTTTGAGAGCAGCCTTGCGCTTGCTGACGAGCGCCGTTGCTTCCTTGAAGTCTTCCTCCTTGACGCAGAAGTCGTAGGCTGATTCATTTGCGGCCAACAGATTAGAGAATGTGTCCAGTACACGGAGCGCGGGCAGCGACACAGGAGGTTCTGAATCAAATTCCTTCGAAGGTGTTTGGGAAGAGGATTCGAGCTCTGACACTTCAACTTTGACACGCACTTCAGAAGGACCTTTCTTTGCTCCTGCTTTGTCCATCTCACCGCTCTGCTTGCCTGCGTCGCCGTCAAGCTTGTCTTGATCGGGCGTCGCATCCTGACCCTTGGCGGCCTGAATCGGCTCCACGTCCTCGGGCTTCTTGTCCGCAGCACTGCCGCCTTCAGTGTTCGCAGCTTCATCTTTCTTCTCGTCCATGCCGCCTTTGTCCGTGGTCTCCACGTCTTGATCTTCTGGTATATCTTCTGCGGGCGCAGCTTCGCCCTTGCACTCGGTCTTCCCTGCGGCGCCGCCTTTTGAGTTCTCTCGTAGTTCTGTCTTCGCTGACTCTTCCCCCTCCTCTGCTGAAAGGTTGTTGCCGCGCCTGAGGATCTTGAAAAGCCTATCGATGCTCACGTCCTCCACGCAGTCCGTGTCGGCCACGGGCGCTACGATCACATTTCCAGTAGCGTTGCCCGGGATATCTTTGACCACGACGCTGAAACAGAAGTCGTCGGCATTCCATGCTGAATCCTTCGGCCCAGTTGGAGTCTGCTGCGTAGCCACAAGGACATCGAACTTGTTGAGATCGGAGAGGCGCACTGGGGCAATCCTCGACCCGTCGGGCAAATCGAAAGCTTCTTTGGGACCTTCATCCTTCTTTGCTTTGGGGGTCTGAGTCTTCTTACTCTTGTCCCACCGATCCTTGATGGCCTGCATCTTCTCTGGCGAGGTAGTCATTGCTTTGTGCAGCTCGAGACGGATATTTGCCAGTTGGAAGTACTTGTTGAAGGTCTTGAAGTGGCGGCTGTCTGGGACATGCGTCTGCTTCATGAGGCTAACCTCGTTCTCCAGGCGATTGGCTTCCATGGTCGCTTCGTCAACCTGCTTCTGCAAGTAGGAAACTGCACTCGAACTAAGCTTCAACCGCTTCCTCGGCGCTGCTGCCGTTATTACTGGGCTATTGCTTTCAGACTCACCTTGTTCACCATCGGCTTCGTGTTTCTTCTTTCCTTCTGCAATTACGCACTTCCTCTTCCCGTCGTCGCCATCATCTGCTTTCCGCTTAGCCCCGCGGCCGCTGCTTGCGGCGCCCGAGTCCTTCTCCTTCTTCCCTTTCTTCTCCTTGTGATCCCCCTTTTCTTTTGAGTCGCGGCCTTTCTGATCAACGAGCCATTGGACGTTGTTTATGTCCCCCTCCTTTGCATCGACGAATTGGCCTTTCCCGCTCGGCGCAAAAAATGCAGATGAGGATTCCTCCAACGACCCAGAGACGTTTTCAGCCAACGGCCCCATGTCTTGAAAACGAGTGTGGCCCGTGGTGAGTTCCTTCTCGAGAGCTTGCATGTCTGCCTCTCCCAAGTTTTTCTGGAGATTCCTCCTCTGAGTGATCCTATGCTCATCACGTTGGTCATTGTAAAACTTGAACTTGTCCTTCGTGATCACGGGCAGCTTTATCTCACCATTTGGCGCGAACCTCGGCTTCACCCTCGGGTTCTTCTTGAGCTGGTTCCACTTCGCCATCTTCTTCGCAGGGTCCTTGATGCTGCCACCGTCCGCTGTCTCACAAAACCCGCAGAAAGCCTCCAGCGTCATGAAATCGCCCTCTGCCCACGTCTCCAGACCCGAGGATGCGACCTTTGACTCGACGTAGCTTGTCATGTCGAACTGGCCTGGCTTGACTCGCCCCGAGCTGGCAGGGCACTGCGTGATGAACTCCGTCATAATGTCCGTCCACTCCTGGTCGTTATCCTTCTCCTTTCTATTGAACCACTCCTCACAGTCCTGGGCTGCCGCTACGCGCCTGGCACGTTGAACGTTCGACTTGCAGTAATTGCATTTATCTGAGCCCTTAACTTTTGGCTTGATTCCCCCATTCAGCTTCTCGCAGAACTTGTGTGAGCAGTGCTTCCCAGAGTCGTATTTCCCCCGATCCTGTCTCTTCTCCTTATCGATCGTCTGCTTGACCCCCTTGTTGGCCTCGCCTGGAATGGCGGCGTTCTTTTTGCCTCTGCCACCACCCCGTCCTCTGCCGCCGCCTCTCCCTGCCTGGGGCGGCGACGACAAGCACGCGCATGCAATGTCGCACTTGATATGGAAAAAGCTATCGGAAGTTCCCTCACGCACGCACGAGCACAGACGCGACTCCAGATCAGACGCTCCTGCAAGGGCGTCCGATCTGCCGCTGTACTCATGCACCGTGGGTTGGATTTCCATATCCGTGCACACACAGCATCACGACATGATTGCCGAAGCTGCTGCCTGATGAATGGGCGGCGCACCCTCGTCGTCATCCTCATTGCCAGCGGACTTGGACGCCGCGCCCTCGTTGTCAGACGACTCGACGCCGCCGCCAGCGGGGCTGAGCACGCAGTCGGCGTCGTCCAACATCATGGTGGCACTCGTTGGTGCAGTCGGTTGGTTGCCCACGGTGGGGTAGCTTGAGTAATTATATGCGGCGTGCCGCACCGTCACCTTGACCCCTCGTGGCTGTTGGAGTACGCGGGGCAATTAGGTGTGCACGTGGTAGCGCAACCAAACAACATAGCAGGACGCATTACACGTAGCCAGAGCGGTAGTGGTAGTGGCAGCAGTAATACCACTAGGGGAGTGATGTGGTAAGTGTGCTTGAGGTGTGCGTAGTATTAGCCACAGCTATGGCAGTAGCAGAAGTGGACGTAGTAGTAGTAGTAGTAGTAGTAGTAGTAGTAGTAGTAGTAGTAGTAGTAGTAGCAGTAGCAGTAGCAGTAGCAGTAGCAGTAGCAGTAGCAGTAGTAGTAGTAGTAGTAGTAGTCGTAGTAGTAGCAGCAGTAGTAGTAGTAGTTATGCGATTAGTAGTGGATGTAGCAACAGACCTAGAGGCAGTGGTAGCAGTGGTATCAGCGGTACTAACTAGGCGTAGCAGCACTATGACGTGAGATGTAGGAACGTCAGTAGTCGTAGCAGTGGGAGTGACGGTAGTAGCAGTAGTGGTTAGGATATCATTCGTGGCCACAGCCGTAATACTACTAGTGACAGTAGCAGGTGCAGCCGACGTCGTAGTCACAGTAGTCGTCCTCCTCATCCTCCTCCTCGCTCCTCCCCCTCCACGCTATCATCAGCCCTCTACCTCACAGACAGCGCCTTAGGTAGATCAGAGAAAGGAAAGTCGCGGGAACCCTCCAACTGAGTTTCCAAATAGCCCCCATCTTCTTCCGAAGTTCATCCAATCCCTGCCCATAGCCCCATAGCAGCCCAATGGGTGATTGAGCGTTCAGCTACATGGAACCTACTGGGCCACGGCCAACATCCAAGAGCTTACAAGGGTTGCAGGGACTCCAGACATACCGAATTGTCCCCAAACACCTCGAAACGAATTCCAAACCAACGCCCACGAGAGACGCGCGATTCTCAATTGCGCCGTCCGGGGGAGGGACAGCGAACAACCGCAATCTGTAGAGCACCCCACTGGAAGATCGTAATCCATGTAGCCCATGGGGCGAGACGCAACACGCAAAGCACGATCGCATCCTCTGCGAGTCAGAAACGCGAAGCGTAATGGATGATTATGAAGACGAACAAAACGCAAGCATACTTTTCAAGCGACCATCTCTGTAGTCTTGGCTCTGGCCAGTCTGAACTGACACCGAACAGGAAGCGAATCCGACGCCTCAGAAGTTCCACTTGCACGATCTGCTGCAGGCTCAACGAAGATCATAAATCGTCGTCACTGCAGTCATCAGCTTCGTAATCCATCTGCAGAGGCACCGTCGGGCGCATCTCCGAATGTGGGATGGGAACGGCGAGGGCAAACATGAATACAAATCCAGCAACCATGAGGTTCATCCCGTTGCCTGCAACGCGCGTGGCTTCAGCGGCGGTAAATGTCGACAAGATGGATGCAACCGCGTTGTTAATTGAATAGTCAGTGAGTGTGCTGTCGATGGCAATGCCCTGCGCAAGCATAATCTCCATTGGCGTGAAGAGGCGCTTGGCCGCTGTCGACCAAAACATTGACTTGCGGAGCATTGGTGGGCACGCTGTATCATAAGATGCGCGCGGGCCTGGATTCTGTGACAGGTCAAACACATAATGTTGCATCTGTGTGTCGTCCTGCCCATCATAAACCATTGACAAGTATTCAGACAATCGCATTTCACATCCAGGTGGCAATAATTCCTCAGCAGGGATACCATTACCGTACCAATTGCGCCGCCGTTTCTTACATTGCCCCATCAACATACTCCTTACATTCTCCTCGCTGTCGACACAGAAGCAGCCACCATGCAACACTGAACGTTCACGGCGCAATAGTTGCCGCAATGTAGACCTGTGTTGGGAGAGGTATTGCAACACAGTTGATCTAACAACACATTCTCGTTAAACCAACCCGTTGAAAGACCCTCCCGCCCTTGTGAAACTCCAAAATGACAGAATTATCATCGTCATGCATGGTCTACTTTGAACATGTGACCTCTCATGTCTGATATTGTCTGACCACCCAGCAAAGCGAGACTTCTTGGCCATCAGTGTCCACTTTCGAATTCGACGGGAAGGGAAACCGAAATCACATGGGCTGATATCCATCACAACAAAATGATGAGTCTTGGCCATTGCCTTGAACAGCCAATCCGCCTCGAATAGCGCAGTGCACTCGTGGATGACAATGTCCTCCTGCTTGTGCGCGCGCTCGAACAGCCACGTCATGAACACCGTGTTGGTGGTGCCACAAAGCCCCGACCGCTCGCCCACTTTGGACCAGTGGATGCAAGGCGTGCCTGCGGTCGAGATTCGCAAGACGTTTTCAGATTGCAATGCACTCACGGGCACTCTGTTGTAGGCATTTGGATTGTCAAGCACTGCCGCCATCTTCGAAAAAATCTCTGGGCTGAGGCGGCGACGTATCTCTTTCCTGGCGATGCCCAGCTTGACCATGCCCTTGAACTGTTCGTAATGGGTCTGTGAAATGCGATCGATCTGTGTCTTGGCATGCTCTGTGAGCTTATCCAGGATGTCACCAAGTACCCTAGTCATTGTTGACCTTGGCCAGGCTTGCAACACTTGCCGACAACGCACATCTGATTCGCATGCCTGTGGGGAGGCCCTTCCCCGCCCTGCCCGGGCCCAGGAAACCTCAAAGTTTTAGGAGGGCTATTGCATGTGATTGGTTGTATTTCCAAGGTTGTGGTTGGATGTTGGGGTTGAGAGACTCTCTTTGGGGACCTACCGAATGCCTCAGAGTAGATGACATTGCTTGTCAGACCACTGCTCTGGTGCACCTCTCTCTGGATCAAGTCGGCGCCCATGCGGAAACAATCAATTCCTGTGAAGGCAGAACTGATCTCGATGCCACCTGATAGGCGCTCGCGCATCCTGTCATAGAGGCCCTGACCTCCACGCAAATTACGAAGGTCCCGCAACAACCGCGTTGGCCACGCCAACACGTCCTGGACTTCACGAGGATCGATTTGGCACGCCATGCGCGCTGGGCCCAAGGGAAACCTAAGGGGCGAAGATCCTCTGGTTCGGGCCGTAGGCTACGGCATAGCCGCTGTGACACTGTGAAGAGAAGAAACCAGCGGGATTCTTCAAACGGCGCTAAAGACAACATAATGTGTTGATTCCGACATTTTTGGAGCCAAAACGCAGAACATCCCACTGGACTCTCTCAAACGCTTCAGAACGCACCAAACGACCAAGATACATCGAAGTTCAGCAAAATCAAATGAGAAAGCAAACAAACATTTGAAACCGTAACTTTTCATGACATCTTAATTTCGATTCAAAAACATATGAAAACGATATCTGGAGGCTGTTGCTGCCACCGACGAAATTCAATTGAACTCGCCCGAACGGGTTCAAAAACCGCTGCGTGTTCAAACGCCCTGGGGCGGGTTCAAATGCCGTTTTAGCGTGTTCAAATGCCTCTGGGGCGTGTTCAAACGCGATTTGCGCACGCTCAGGATTTGAACCTGTTCAAGCGAGTTCAAACCTCAAAACTGATATGTCAGCATGCTTGAAAATTTCATCAACAACTGGAGTTATTTTATTTTAGTTGTTTCTTGAAATGGTGGTGAACAAATCAAAAATCATAGCAAACAACATCAAAATCACCAGATGACTGAAAATAATCATTCAACGAACAAAACACAACACAACCTATCTGTCTGAGCTGTTTTTGGCAAACCTGTCCTGAAATTCATTGAAACCATGAGAATATTTTCAAAATGTCGGAATCGATCGTCTAGCATCAATGTGTTGTTTCTTGCCCTCTTTCGGCGCCGCCCTCCCTTCCCCCTTCCGGCACCGCCCTCCCTCCCCCCCACTCTCTCTGCTTCGTCCTCGGGCCGATTCCTTGAACCGCTTCTCTGCCTCATCCTGTTTCTCCTACAGTGCTCTGCCGTTGACCCCCAAACGTCTTATTGTCATGATCTTACTATGGGACTGAGAGACGGATCTCGCCAGAGCTCGCCAGTTCAATGAGATATCTCTGACGCAGCTTTGCCCCCGCATTGCCAGGGGATGGGGGGCTTGCTAACGAGGGAGAGGATGGGGCAGGGAGGATACCAGAAAAGGAGGAGGAGAGCAGGAGCAGGAGCAGGAGCAGGATCAGCAGGGAAGGTTGAGGTCGAGGAGGATGGGGTTGAGGTCGAGGAGGAAAGGAGGAGGTTGAGGTCGAGGAGGAAATATTCGTTGCAACACGCAGTAGCTTACCAAGAGTGACTCCAGGAAGCGATTGGGCTGGGCGACTGCAAAATCGGTTGCCCCGTGCCCATTCAAAGATCAAGCACTAGCTCTGAGAGCATCGATGTCGACTCGACTCTGTCCCTCTCTTTCTCTCTCTTTCTCTCATTCTCTCGATGCATATCGTTCGATGTGCAACTCGGTCGCATGGATATTTCAAGAGAAGGGTCTGAGTTCGAGTTCCCAGTAGCCCGACACTCGACTTCGTCGGAACGTCGGAATCGACGAATCGATTGGCGATCATCCACTTCGATTGTGGACACGCCATCAAAAAATCGAATATGTAAAATGATAGCAGACACCAGCAGGCGCATTCTGGCCTAGCCCGGGCCTGCCGCTGCTGGAGCCGCTGCAGCGGGGAGACCAGCACGAGCATCCTCACTAGCCTGCCACTCGCGGCACTGCACCTTCGTAGGGCGCATCTCCTCCAGGGTCTCGAGGGGAAGCACTGGCATTTTGCGGGGGTCGATCCTCTGGTGGTCTGCTTTGTCCTTCGGCGGCAGGCAATTCGGTTGTCTCGAAGTGTAGAGTGTGTTGTGCGCTCTTCCTCCTCCTCCAACTCCACCTCCCTCTTCCTCCTTCTCCTCCTCCTCCTCCTCCTCCTTCTCATCCTCCTCCACCTCCCTCCTCCTCTTCCCCTCCTTCTCCTCCCGAGGTTGAGGTCAAGCGGT